CAGGACGGCGGGACGGGCAGGGCGGCGCGCGGGCACTAGGGAAGCGCGCAGGGCAGGGCGGGGCGGCGCACGGCCAGGGAAGGGTGGCGCACGGCCAGTGCAGGGCGGCGCATAGCAGGACAGGGCGGCGCGCTGTCACAGGGGCGACGCGACAGGCCGGGCAGGGCGACACGCGGGCACTAGGGTGATGCGACGGGCAGGGGAGGGCGGGCGTGGCCAGCAGGGCGACGCGACGGGCAGGGCAGGGCATCGCGCGGCCAGCAGGGCGACGGGCAGGGAGGGCGGCGCGGCAGCGCGACGGTCAGGGTAGGGCGCTACGGACAGGGTAACGCGCTACGGACAGGGAACTATTCGGTGGGCCCTAAAAGAAAAACAGTCCTGGAACAGGACCTGCTATGAAATTATGTCAGAATATTGAACGAGAATGGATGCATTGAGATCAAACCTGTGTACAAGTACTAACCCTAATTGAGTTGTACGTCTTATGGGCTACCCCACTACAGCCTACACAACAAGGGCATTGTGATAATTTGACATTGTTTTCATTGACATATGTGTGGTCTATTGAATTCGGCCAAAAACCGTATTCGAGGATCTTACACGCCCTTAGCGCGCTTCGACGATGCCAAATACGGTACGTGGTACAAGCAGCTTCGCTTTCACAACATACAATTTCGAGGAACACTACTACTTGTGTTTATAAAGTTATAAGAATTTAAAGCACCCAGTGGGTGTTACGATTTTGACCCATACATGCACCCCCCTAGGGGGGACGGGGGAGAGGGGGTGGGGGTATTTATCCTATGGAGGGAATATGGTAAGTACTGACGGCACAATTACCACCATGAATTGGACCGTATGTCATTGGTTTCCCACCCCAGCAGTCATCGTAGGCGGTTGACCTACACCCGATCTCTAGGTGCATTGCTGCACGTGCTCATCCCCGAAGCGCAGCAGACATAAGAAATGCTTGCTTTCTTGCTGCCAGCCTTCGCTCCAAGTCCTCCATTGACTCCCTAACCACCATCGCCATTGCCCTGCTACCCCCTTCCTCCTCCCACCACACTGCCATCTCCTCTCGAGCCCTCTTCGCCTCCTCCCCCTCCTCTTCCTCCTCCCCATCCCGCTTTCTCTTTAACCCGGAAAGCACGTCTTCCAACCCCTCATCCCCACCAACACCCAACTCTTCATAAAGATCATCACCCAGCCCTTCCTGATCACCACCACTGCCCAGCACTGCACCACCCTCCTGACGCTTCTCACGCTCTGCCTCCCCTGCACGCACATCCGCCCCTACCCCTCCCTTGCCAGCCCCAAACACGCGCTGGTTTGACTGGTCGAGCATCTTGGCTGAAGTGGTTGTGACCTCGTGAATCCACGCACAGCTCTGCAGGATGCGTGTGCTGCACTGGGGAGCCACGTGTGCTATGTAGAGCTCTGCCATTGCCCTGCGCTCCTGCTCCCCTGCATTCCACTTGGCTTCCTCCAGCTGCACTTCCTTCCCACGCTCTGCCTGCTGCTGCTGCCGCTGCTGTGCCTGCTGTGGCTGTTGCAGCGCCTGCTGCACTTGCTGCTGCCGTGGCTGCTGCTGTAAGTGATGGGACTGGTCTGCCTGATTAGTATGCCTGTCTGCACCTGTGGCAGCACCACTGGCAGGACCACTTGCAGCAGCAGTGAGAGCAGGAGTGTCAGCATCATCATCTGTATCAGCATCCAATCCAACGGCATACCGTGTTGTCTGAGCAGCAGCACCAGTCCTTGCAGGTGACACAACCCTGGAAGGAGAGACAGCCCTGGACTTGTATCCTCCACGTGAAGACCCCTTGCCCTGCCTTCCCCTCTTCCCCCTCCCACTTCCCCTGCTCGACGTGCCCACCTGAACTTCACCATCGTCTGCAGCACCAGCAACAACAGTGTCAGCACGAGCCAACAACTCCCCATGGCTCCCTTCCTCCCATTCTTCCTCCTGCACGTCCTCCCGATCTGCACCCTTCCGCTTCCGCTTCCCCGTCCCCTTCACCCTACCTCTTCCACCCTCCCTGCTCAATGCGCCCACCTGCACTTCACCATCCTTTGCAGCAGCAGCCGCAGCGCCAGCACGAGCCAAAAACTCTCCACGGCTCCGTTCCTCTCCTTCATTCACCGAATCCCCTTCCCGTACGTCCTCCTGCTCTGCACCCTGCCGCTTCCACTCCCCTGTCCCCCTCCCCCTCCCCCTCCCTCTCCCCCTCCCGTTCCGTCCGCCCCTTTCTGCCCTCTCTCCAGCAACCTTGGCCTTGGCAATCTTCCTTCTCTCCACCCTTGTTGCAACCGTCACTGTATCCTCCTCCTCGTCGTCCTCCCCTCTCTTCTCCCCATCCTCCTCCCCCTCACCCCCCTCCTCATCCTCCAGAAAATCCCCATGCCAGTCAGATACAAGCACATCCGCACACTCATCCCTGCCCTCCCTCCCACTCAGCACCCCCTCCCTGCCTTCCTCCTCCGTGCCTGCGCCCCCCTCGCCGCCCTTCACTCGTGCACCAGAGCCGTCTGCTGCAGATGCCTTGGCAGGGCGGCTCTTGGGAGGCGCAGGTCCGCGGAGAGGCATGGACATGGGCACAAGGCCTGCATGGGGGGTGCAAGGACAGGGGGACGGCATTTGAGACATCTTACAAGAGGCATGGACATGGGCATGGGTAGCGCGGGGTAAAGAGGGGTGGGAGGGGGAGGAGGGGGGGAGAGGGAGGGGGGAAAGAAGCGAAGGGAGGCTATGCATTTGGCAGGTGAATGATTGATTGAAAAGAAAAAAAGTAGTGATGGTAATAACGCTCTCCCTCATGCCTCTCCTGCAAAGGCACCCATTTCTTCCTCTCTTCCCCATACCCTCTTCCCCCCCATAACCCCCTTTCCCCCTGCTTCTCCCCCTGCTCTCCCCACCTGCCACCATGTCCTCGGTCCTGTCTGTGGGCACAAGGCGCACCACCTTGCTCTCCCCCACTCCCTGCACCGCCTCCAACTGCCCATGGGCCAGGGGGAGGGGGAAGGGGAAGGGGAAGGGGAAGGGGAAGGGAAGAAGGGGGAGGGGTAGGGGGAGGGGAAGGGAACGGGGAGAGTGCACTAGGTTCAGTAACAGGATGGCGTGCATTGACCTGCGAGAAACGCCCTCAGAGCTCCCCAATCCAAGTGATGTGAATCTCATATCTGCCATTGCAGTGAGCTGAATAGCCAGTGCAGGCAGCAATGGTCCGTTCGTTGCTCTGCACTGCTACCCCTCACAGCCGTGCGTGCAATAGCCTGTACACACGAACAGCAGCAAAAGTGTTCGCTTGCGCAATCCGTGCAGGCACGTCAAATTCTCTACCTGACATCGATGGTACACCTTCTAGGTGAACGTTGGGTATCTGGGCGGAAGGGAAGCTGTTCCACCACATGGGGCTATGATGGTGCGAACAACGACGGTGATGATGGTGATAGTGCGACGGAGATAGAAATGACCAGACAGGGGTGCATCACACAACCCACAGCTCGGTCACTTTGTTGGCACTAGGCACAGCACGTACCATGTAGCCCTGGCACATGAGCAGCAGGATGAGATGATTTGATTCTAGAGTTGACTCAAAAATAGGCTCGGTCACTTGGCAGTAAGCACAGCACGCACGTACCATGTAGCCCTGGCACATGAGCAGCAGGATGAGATGATTTGATTCTAGAGTTGACTCAAAAATAGGCTCGGTCACTTGGCAGTAAGCACAGCACGCACGTACCATGTAGCCCTGGCACATGAGCAGCAGGATGAGATGATTTGATTCTAGAGTTGACTCAAAAATAGGCTCGGTCACTTGGCAGTAAGCACAGCACGCACGTACCATGTAGCCCTGGCACATGAGCAGCAGGATGAGATGATGATTCTGGAGTTGACTCAAAAATAGGCTCGGTCACTTGGCAGTGCACAGCACGCACGTACCATGTAGCTGGCACACGCAGCAGAATGAGATGCTGCAGGCAGGGACAGCGGCTTCACTGCCACAGCTGGTGCGGGTGCGGGTGCGGTGCTGGGGGGCAACAGTGGCTGTGGCAGGAGTGGCAGGAGCAGGAGTGGCAGGAGCAGGAGTGGCAGGAGCAGGAGTGGCAGGGGCGGCTGGAGTGGCAGTGGCGGCAACAGTGGGAGAAGAGAGAGTAACAGGTGTAGGGAGAGGGGTGTGTGGGAGGGGTTGTGCGGTTTCACTGAGGGCGGTGGAGGCAGTGGAAGCATGGGAGAAGGAATCAGCAGCGGCGGAAGATGGAGGGGTTGCAAGAGCAGCGTCAGGCGAGAGGGTTTCCCCGACAGCACTGCTGCCTGCAGGCGCGGCTGTCACAGTGGCACCAGTGGTCACAGCAGCACCGGCAGAACCAGCAGCAACAGCAGCACCACTGGTATCAGCAGCACCAGCAGCAGCTGTGGTAACAGCAGCACTGCCGGTGGAAGCAGCAGCAGCGGTGACTGTGGCAGCAGCCGTGGAGTCAGAAGGCGTAGCAGCAGCAGCAGCAGCAGCAGCAGCAGCAGCAGCAGCAGCAGCGGTGGTGACAGCAGGCGTTGCGGCGTCTTGACCTCGGGACAGTGCAGCCATTTGTGCTTGACTCATCAGTGCCGCCGCCTCTGCCCCACACATGCAGCCAAGGGAGAGTGGATGGGTGGAGAAGGCAGGGAGGGGTTGAGGGGGAAGGTAAATCAGGGGTGGGGAGAGATGGTTTAGAGGGTAGTGGGCTTGTGAGGGAGAAGGCTTGCAGGCAAGGCAGCATGAAAGTAGATGCAGGTGAGAAAGCACAGCGACAGGCCGGCAGAGGGTGAGGGGAGTTTGAAAGACACATGCAGAGAGACAGAACAAACGTGGCGCAGAAGGCCCCTCCCATACGAGCCTTGCATACAAAAGGAGATGCAGAGAGCGCATGGCAGGGAGTGAGTGCAGGGAACGGTAGCAGCAGCAACTGATGGTCTGAGTGCAGGCAGGCATGCAGTGATTGCATGCATGTAGATCAGCGTGTCAAGACAATGCACTGCAAGGATACCTCGCTGACTCCTCGCCCTCGTCTTGTGACTCCTCCCCCAGCCCTCTCCCACTATCTCCCTCCACCCCTCCCCACCCCCCTCCCCCTCCCCCCCCCCTTTCCCCCTCCCCAACCGCACCTGAGGCAGCGCCGGAGCGGAAGATAAACTCATTGGCAAGCTGGGGGGCAGTGAGGTGCGGTGAGGGACGGTGAGGGGCGGTGAGGGGCGTTGGAGATGATGGTTCAGAACTCACCCGCGGCAGCGCCGGAGCGGAAGAACTCATTGGCGAGCTGATGGGCGGTGAGGGGCGTGGGTGAGTCCGGCAGGATGCGCGCCAGTAGCATGGCGTACGCTGGAAGGCGGACGGGAGAGAGAGGGGGGCGAAGGGTGGGGTAAAGGAAGGAGGGGAGGTAAAACGAGGGAAGCGGGCGTGAGGACAATGAGTTGGAAGGGGAAAGGGAGTGACGGGGGACTGGTGTAGGGGGGGGGAGTTTGTTGCTTGAGTTGAAACTTGAAAGGAGTTGGGAGGAGTTCAGAGGCAGCAGACTAGTAGGATAGGAGATAGCAAGTGACAAACCCAGCTGCTCCTGATGCAGAACGTAGTTCAATCACCATTGCCGGAATTCGAACATAACAGTGCCAGAACACGGAATACAAAATTCCAGAATACGGAACATTAAGTTCCAGAACAGGGAGTACATCAGAGAGTTCCTGGGAAGCAGGTGAGAGCGAGTGAGAGCGAGTGAGAGCGAGTGAGAGCGAGTGAGAGCGAGTGAGGGAGAGAGATAAAGAGTGAGGAAGAGAGAGTGAGAGTGAGGGAGAGCGAGTGAGAGCGAGTGAGAGCGAGTGAGAGCGAGTGAGAGCGAGTGAGAGCGAGTGAGGGAGAGAGATAAAGAGTGAGGGAGAGCGAGTGAGAGCGAGTGAGAGCGAGTGAGAGCGAGTGAGAGCGAGTGAGAGCGAGTGAGAGCGAGTGAGAGCGAGTGAGAGCGAGTGAGAGCGAGTGAGAGCGAGTGAGAGCGAGTGAGAGCGAGTGAGAGCGAGTGAGAGCGAGTGAGAGCGAGTGAGAGCGAGTGAGGAAGAGAGATAAAGAGTGAGGAAGAGAGTGAGAGTGAGGGAGAGCGAGTGAGAGCGAGTGAGAGCGAGTGAGAGCGAGTGAGAGCGAGTGAGAGCGAGTGAGAGCGAGTGAGGGAGAGAGATAAAGAGTGAGGAAGAGAGGGTGAGAGTGAGGGAGAGCGAGTGAGAGCGAGAGAGAGTGAGTGAGAGCGAGGGAGAGCGAGTGAGAGCGAGGGAGAGCGAGTGAGAGCTGAGTGAGAGCGAGTGAGAGTGAGGGAGAGCGAGGGAGAGCAGGGAGAGCGAGGGAGAGCGAGTGAGAGCGAGTGAGAGCGAGTGAGAGCGAGTGAGAGCGAGTGAGAGCGAGTGAGAGCGAGTGAGAGCGAGTGAGAGCGAGTGAGAGCGAGTGAGAGCGAGTGAGAGCGAGTGAGAGCGAGTGAGAGCGAGTGAGAGCGAGTGAGAGCGAGTGAGAGCGAGCGAGAGTGAGTCGGAGCGAGTGAGAGCGGGTGAGGTGAGAGCGAGTGAGAGCGAGTGAGAGTGAAGGAGAGCGAGTGAGAGCGGGTGAGAGTGAGGGAGAGCAGAGAGAAGAGAAGCAGAAGCTCTCTTTGCGAGTGCAAGAGCAGAGATCTTACGAGTAACGTCCTTTTCTTCAAAGCCCCTCGAGTTGCAGCAATTGTCACAGAAGCCTGCAGCGGATGGCCCATCCCATGGGGTCGTCCGTTACAAGATGCAACACATGGATGGATGGAGCAGAGCACGATTTCATGAACAGTCACGACAGGTTCAGCAATAATGGTTAACAAGATAGCGAGATGAGACCCGTACGCCACGGGTACACAGCGCCAACGGCAGAACGATGGGCTACTCAACAAGCAGAAAGTAGCAGGGCACACACAGAGAGACAACCGGATCAGAACTTCTTACAGTTGAGCAAATCATGCTTGATAAGAATTCTCTCCCACCGGTCCTGAATCCCCAACCCAACCCATTCCCCCAAACGAACTCAGCCCACTATCCCCCCAGCCCAGCCCATCTCCCCCCCAACCCAATCCAGCCCAACCCCCCAACCCAACCCAGCCCATCCCCCCAACCCATCTCCCAACAGGCCAGCATGCCTGTGTGCAGGCTAGCCCAGCACGTACGTACCCCCACAGGGTTGCTCATCCGGGGAGTCAAGGTCAAAGTGGCGCAGCAGCAGCTTGTGCCGACACACACTGCGATTCTGATGCCCCGCACACACACAAATGAGAGGCAGGCAGGGGGGGTGGAGGAGAAGAGTAGGGGGAGTAGGGAGAAACGGAAGGGTGGTGATGAGAAACGTGATCGCAGCGACAAGGCCTTGACGGGGACAGGAGGCCTTGACGGGGACAGGAGGCCTTGACGGGGACAGGAGGCCTTGACGGGGACAGGAGGCCTTGACGGGGACAGGAGGCCTTGACGGGGACAGGAGGCCTTGACGGGACGGAGGGATGCAGGGGAAGGAGACAAATGGTTGGTAATTCAGGTGGGAGATGGGCAGGCAGGCAAAACGTGAGGACAAAACGAGGATGTGGATGGAGGGTGGGCAGTGGTGCAGGAGAGAGTAATGTCAAAGTGGTATAGGCCGCAACCATGCACATATGTATTAGCCAATCAACACCGTCCAACATTCATCACTGTGCATGAACCATGCAATAGCACAGCATACCATGCAATAGCACAGCATACCATGCAATACCACAGCATACCATGCAATAGCACAGCATACCATGCAATACCACAGCATACCATGCAATAGCACAGCATACCATGCAATAGCACAGCATACCATGCAATAGCACAGCATACCATGCAATAGCATAGCAGACCATGCAATAGCTCAGCATACCATGCAATAGCACAGCATACCATGCAATAGCATAGCAGACCATGCAATAGCACAGCATACCATGCAACACCACAGCATACCATGCAATAGCATAGCAGACCATGCAATCGCATAGCATACCATGCAATACCACAGCATACCATGCAATAGCACAGCATACCATGCAATAGCACAGCATACCATGCAATAGCACAGCATAGCGAGCAATAGCACAGCATAGCATGCAATAGCACAGCATACCATGCAACACCACAGCATACCATGCAATAGCACAGCATACCATGCAACACCACAGCATACCATGCAATAGCACAGCATACCATGCAATCGCATAGCATACCATGTGTGACTGAGTCAAGGTGATGGTGCGCCGTGCTCTGTCCCGGGTGATCCGCAAGCCAAGATAGCTTGTCAGCTCACCCAGGTCTGTGCACGTGTGTCTCCTCTGCAGCTCTGACTTCACGTAGGCGAGTCCTGCAGTGTCAGCAGTGGCAAAGACCAAGTCGTCGACGTACACGAGGATGTAGAACGGCGGCAGCGAAGTGTCGGTGCGCAGGAACAGCGACGGGTCAGCTGTAGAAGGCGCGAACCCAAGAGCCGCAAGTGTAGTCCTCAGTGTGTCGTGCCACTCACGCGGAGCCTGGCGGAGACCGTAGACCGGCCGCTGAAGCCTCCACTGGGTACCAGGAGGAAACGACCCAGTGAAGCCAGGTGGGCGACGCAGCCAGATCTCCTCGTGCAGGCTGCCCTGCAAGAAAGCAGTGCTGAAGTCAAGTGAGTGAAGCTCGTAGTCGCGGTGAGCGGCTATGTGCAGCAGCACCCAAAGAGTAGTCATCTTCGGGGTGGGGGAGAAGGTCTGGAAGAAGTCAACTCCCTCTCGCTGACTGAAGCCTCGAGCCACGTAACGCGCCTTGAAGACGGGCGGAGAACCCGGCGGCCGCTTCACCCTGAAAATCCACATGCCACTGACGATGTTCGCCCCAGGAGGGGGAACCTCGTCGACGTAGGTGCGTGTGGACTTCCAGGAAGCCATCTCGGCGTCCATGGCTGTCTGCCACTGAGAGGAGTAGGGACCCGCCATCGCCTCAGCGTAAGTGCGCGGGGTCGGGATGTCTGGTGCATCCGGGTCTCCCTCAGGGGCAACTAGCAAGGACACGAGACGGGGCAAAGCAGCAGCAAGACACTGGAACTCCTCCTGTCTGTCCTCAAGGACGTCCGTGCCAAGAGCACACTCACCCCCGACGGACGGAGGACAGACAGACTCAGACTCAGACTCAGCAACAAGGCTAGCAGCGTAGTCTAGACGACAGGCAGCAGCAAAGTCAACCAACTCAGCGACCAGAGCAGACGCAGTCGAGGACTCAAAGGTAGGGTCAGTGACAACAGTAGCGAAGAGACGCGTGACAGTAGGATGCTCAGCACGATACCGGTCAGACTCAGGGTCCGGAACGTCAGGCAAAGAGGACGCAGGAGGAGACGGTAGAGGGACACGCTGAGGAGCAGTAGAGGGACGCAGAGTCATGTAGTGAGTGCCTGGGACAGGAGGAGGACGCTCACGACGGACACGACTACCAGTGCGAGCAGGACGAACAGGCGACGCAGGACGAGACTCAGGCTCACGACGCTCTGTAAGACCTCCTGTGGGACCAGTGTAAGGAGAGGGAGCAGGGAGAGGCGAGGTAGGCGGTAACTGTGACTGCGGCTGGACAGGCGGAGGACACTCTACGGAGGGAGGAGGACAAGGAGGAGGATGTCAGAATGAACGGACTGGAATGACTGTACTAACAGAAGGTTGGATACAAATAGGAAACCCTAATCTAGTGTACCCCCTAAGGTATAACCCACTACAGCCTACAATCATATAAACATATAATGTTTGACACACCCCCATAGGCGAAGTGGGGAGACCTGGGGGTCACACGACCAGTCAGGGCAAAGCAAGGCAAAGCAAGCTCAGGGTGGATCTCGAGGATTCCACACAAATTCCGAGCACAAGCAAGTGGTCACAAGACCAGTTCACATGCAGGTTTATAACAGAGCAAGAGATACAGTGATCACAACCTAGCAAGAGTAAATATGCAGGTATATATATATAGTGATCACAGTACAAGCAAGGTCAAGAGGTAAGCAAGTGAGGTCCAGTAGGCACAAGACCTAGTAGAGTGCAGAGGCGCTGATGGTCACGAGGCTGAAGCGCCTTGGTGAACACATCAGCAGTGTTGGCCTCAGTGGCCACGTAGCGAATACAAAGCTGACCGCGCTGCTGCAGCTCTCGAGCAAGGAAGTACCGCAGGGCGATGTGCTTCGTTCTGTGCTCCAGTCTGTGCTCCTCACACAAGGCAATGGCAGCCTTGTTGTCGACGTAC